TGTCGATCTTCGCCCCCGTTCCTTCCGTACCTATTACGTTGGTGCCGAACGATTGTGTGTGTGTGTGGGTGGTCAGCGAGTCATCTGCATTCAGCTGGTTTACACACTGCCTGAAGACGCCAAGAAGAACCATGTACCAAAGAACGTGCCAAGAGGAAGGGCCGCAACCAGCCTCATCCAGCAGATTTCGTTCTCCCCCTTTCCATTTGGCGGATAGACCTGCGGCATGGAGACAGACGGGGCGGTTGCTTTCTGTGAGGGTGCGCAAGCGCTTTATTCACATCTGTGGTTCGTCTGGGTCGCTTGGGAGCTCTGTCGGGGGTGAATGGGCGGGCTTCGGGCCACCTTGGGACGATTGGGGAGGTGCCTTTGAAGGCGTGATGGCTTCATGGGCGACCAGAGAGGTGATGGAGGCCCTCTCGGGCCGTCCGGGGACCTCCTCGACTGTCTTGGGGAACCCTCTTGGGCGGTGGCTTGGGCCATCTGTGGGCCCTCTCGGGATCCTCTTGGGAACCTTCTGTGGCCCTCTTGGGGCTCTCCTGGGAACCTTTTGGGACCCTTAGGCGCCTCCCTTGGGCCATCTTGAGGCTCTCTTGAGCCGTCTTGGAGCCCTCTGGGGCCGTCTTGGGGCCGTCGTTGGGTCCTCTGGTAGTTTTGGGACCCTCTGAGGCGCTCTTGGGGCTGACGTGGGCCGTCTAAGGCCGAACATGGCCGACAAATGGGCGATTAGTTCTGGAGGTGGCGAGGCCGACCCCCTACGCGCACTTTCCGTCATCTGCGCGTCTGGCTGCCAACCCCCTCAAAATCCCCCCGACTAACGCATCGCACGCGAAGCGCGCTTTCCGTTATCTGCGCGTGCGGCTGCAAGACGACCCTGAAGCGTCCCAAGAGGGCCCCAAGATGGCCCAGAGAGGCTCCAAAGACAGTTTCCGACGGGCCAAGAACGCCGTAAGACTGCCAAACGCCCCTCAAGAAGCCCCCAAAGGCCCCCAAGAGGCCCAAGGAGGCCCCCAAGAAGCCTCCAAGGGGCCGCCAGGAAGCTCCCAGGACGCCCCAGGAATGGCGCCAGAAGCTCCCGAGAGGTCTCCTCACCCTTCCCCATCATCCTGCTTCTCCTTCCCTCTCCTCATCCTCCTCGCTCCCCACGTGTTCCCCGAAGGCCTTCCACAACGGCTGGGGGCACGCATGGCCCAACGGCGTGGCCACGCTTTGCCCGAACATTTGGCCACACAGGCGTATCCTATACAAGGCAGGGGATGCGGTCACTCGCCTCGAGGCGCGGCGGCGGCGGCGGCGCCTCGCGCCACGACGACGACGACGACGACGACGACGACGACGACGACGACGACGACGACGACGACGACCACGACGACGACGACGACGACGACGACGACGACGACGACGACGACGGGCATTGGAAGGGGTCCGCCTGCGAGGGCGGCTCGGCGCGCGGCCGGGGCATGTCGGGCGCGGGCGGGCCTTGAGGGGAGACCCTCGTCGTCGTCGTCGGTCGTCGGTCGTCGTCGTCCTCTCATTCTTCCCAGTCCTCGTCCTCGTCCTCGTCCCGCTCTTCGTCCGCCATGATGCGGCATCAAAGTTCGAGGAGGAGGAGGAGGAGGAGGAGGAGGAGGAGGAGGAGGAAGAAGGCATCAAAGTTCGAGCAATATCTCTCGCCACGTTCGGCTTCCAGGGGCCCCCTCTCGGGTGTGGCCGTCCAGGGTCGGAGGCGCAGGTGGGCCATCCCGCGCGGTCCCGCTGCGCGGAGAGGCTGGCTCCTGGGAGGCTCCGGAGAGGCACATAGGAGTAAGTCGGGCCTGTCCTCCTACAGGGGGGCTTTGGACGAAAAATCCCACCAGCCCTCTGGGCGTCGGTGGTTTAGAGCGTTTCCTCTTCCACCCCTCCTTCTTCCCCTTCGGGGAGGGGTTTACCCCTCCCCCTACCCCCTCCCCACTGACCTGGACAGGGGGTTCCGCGGCGCGTTGGAGCGCCCAAGATCGACCCCTGGGAGGGCTAAAATTCGACACCCCTCACGAGGATCGTGGCTCCTGAGGGGGGGACTGTAATTAGGGAACCCCCCTTCGTTGATCGATCTCCTCCAAGATGGCTCCGAGGCCCCCCAAGAGGCCCCCAGGAGGCCCCCAAGAGACCCCCAAGAGGCCCCAAGAGACCCCCCAGAGGCACCCAAGAAGCGCCCAGGAGGCCCCAAGAAGCGCCCAGGAGGCCCCCAAAGGCCCCAAGATGGCCCCAAGAGGCCCCAAGAGGCCCCCAGAAGGCCCCAAAGAGGATCCCGAACGGCCCACAGAGCCCCCCCCGAGGCACCCAAGACGCCGAAAAGCCCCTCAGGACGACCCTCTGCTCGCCTGGGCGTCGTTTCTGGACGGGCTGGTGGGGATACGCGAAGCGTTTAGAATTTTAAATAATCCAAAAGTGCCCCCAAATGGCAACACACATGCTCAAAAAGTCGTCCCCAGAATATTTTTTGACTACTTTTGAATACTCCCCCTGTAGAGGACAGGCCCGACGTAAACCTAGGGGGCGTTCGAATCTTCGGCGTGCTTCTCCCGTAGGGCAACTCTGGGGAACGTCTGGGGGGCCCGGATGACCTCGGGGACGTCAGGAGAAACATCTGGGAAACCGCGGGGGGCTCTTGATGGGGGGTCCCTGGACTGCGCCACGGGTGCCAGAAAGGAAGCCCTGCAGCCTGGGGCGCCAGCGGGAAGCTACGACGAGGAAGCCCTGCGAAGCTCCTGCGAGGCCCCCACGGCTTCGGGGCCCTCCGCTGGGGACCAGGGGAACTGCCCAGGATGCCCGGCCCCTGGGAGTCTTACGGTCGACTCGCCCCTGGGAAGCTCCTGGACTTGGAAAAGGCATTCTGGCCACTCTCACGCTCCGCTCTGGCAAGGCTCCGCCGCCCAGACTACATTCGTCGGCCTGACCTAAGGAACGATAAATAAGGAACGACTCACCTTTTTTTTTTCCAAGGAGAAGCGCACGAGGAACGATACATTAAAAATAACGCGTAAGGAAGCATAGAGAACGCATGCAAGCCCACGGAACGACCGAGCCCCTTGTGGAAATAAGTGTTCCCTGTTTAAGCCGCTCGCTGTACCCAGGCACCCGGAGACTTCTTCGATGGAGGACACAATGATAAAAAAAAAAAACACTCACAAAACACACAAGTGAAGAATCCTCGGGGCCCCCAGGCCCCGAGCCCTCTGCCCCACTTCGAGGCCCCCCGGGTGGGCTCGGATCTCCTGGGCGTCGGACAGCCCTCGTTCTCGTCCTCGTCCCGCTCTTCGTCCGCCATGATTCGGCATCAAAGTTCGAGGGGGAGGAGGGGGAGGAGGAGGAGGAGGAGGAGGAGGAGGAGGAGGAGGAGGAGGAGGAGGAGGAGGAGGAGGAGGAAGATCGCGCCGCATCGCCGATGCCTCGCACCCCACCTGGGAGGCCCGGGGTCTCGCGCCCCGCAGCGGCGCTCCTTTGCTCCCGAAAGACCCGCGAGCGCGAGCCGACGCGCTCGCGCGCCCGAGACCGCGGCCACCTCCCAGGGCTCCCCGCCCTGGAGCCTCTCGCGAGAGGGAAAGCTGGACGGGGGATTGGCGCAGTTGAAGGGGCCCTGGGGCACACCAGTAATTACTCCGACGGAAGGACCCCGCATGAGAATCCTCTGGGCGAGTCTGGAAAAAACCCTCACCGTCGTCCTCGTGGTTGGTGAGGCGTCCTGGCTGTCTCTTCTGCGTATATTTCTTCTCGCCCTGGCGCGGGCCCCCCCCCCGCTCCCTATGTTGCCCCCGACCTCGTCATCATCATCATCATCATCATCATCATCATCATCATCAGCATCATCATCATCATCCTCATCCTCATCATAATCATCAACATCATTATCATCATCATCGGGTGCGTCCCAGTGGATACGTGCCGAACACGACCCAGAGGAAACGCACAGGGTGCGTCCCAGTGGATACGTGCGGGGGCACGACCCAGAGGAAACGCACAGGAGTGCGTCCCAGTGGATACGTGCCGGGAATAGCGCTCTGGGAACACGACAAACACAAAGTGGCCTACAATTGGTTCCAGACATTCAGAATGTGGCCCGGGAGTGGTGTTCTGGGAGCACGAAGAACACGAAGTGGCCTACAGTTGGCTCCGGGCATTCAAAATGTGGCCCGGGAGTGGTGTTCTGGGAGCACGAAGAACACGAAGTGGCCTACAGTTGGCTCCGGGCATTCAGAATGTGGCCTTGGAAAAAGCATTCTGACCACTCCCACGCTCTGCCCTGGAAAGGCTCCGCTGCCCAGACTACATTCATCGGCAGGACCTAAGGAACGATAAATAAGGAACGACCGCCTTTTTTTTCCAACGAGTAGCGCATGAGGAACGATACATAAAACAATAACGCATAAGGAACAATAGCGAACGCATGCAAACCCACGGAACGACCGAACCCCTTTTGGAAATAAGAGTTCCTTGTTTAAGCCGCTCACTGTACCCAAGCACCCGAAGACTTTTTCGATGGAGGACATCATGATTAACAAAAGCACTCACAGACACACAAGTGAAGAATCCTCGGGGCCCCCAGGCCCCGAGCCCTCTGCCCCAGGAGTGAGCCATTCGAGGCCTGCCAGGTGGGGGTCGGAGCTCCTGGGCGTCGGAAGATCGCGCCGCATCGCCGATGCCTCGCACCCCACCTGGGAGGCCCGCGGTCTCGCGTCCCGCAGCGGCGCTCCTTTGCTCCCAAGAGGCCCGCGAGCGCGAGCCGACGCGCTCGCGCCCGAGACCGCGGCCCTCTCCCGGGGCTCCCCGCCCTGGAGCCTCTCGCGAGAGGGAGAGCTGGACGGGGGACTGGCTCAGTTGAAGGGGCCCTGGGACACACAAATAAATACACACAAATGACAGGATTCTCCTCTATTCTCTTATATTGTCTAGGTCTTTGTCTTTCCCCCCACACTTCCCATACTTTCCCATACTTTCTGGGGAATCGACGATTAATTGTGTCTGTGTGTTTCTTTCCCTCCTGATCAATGGGGGACACGTCGACCTGGAATCGGCGACGCATCGCCGAAAGATTGGCGACGCATCCCGCATCGATGCCTGATGGGCCCCCGGGGCGCCCGAGGAGCAGGCGCCGCGCTCGGAGACGTCCGGCCCGCGGGGTCGTCAGGGGGGGCACCTCGGCAGGCGCCCGCCGCGCAACGGCGGCCACCCGAGGAGGCCCTCGCGGGGGCCCGTTCTGCAGAGCGTCGCGAGGCCTGCGGGGATGCCGCTGAGATGGCCTCGCGCGGGATCGCCGCAGCGGCGGCGCTCTCCACACCCAAGGAGGGAGGATGGCGCCTCCTCAATTCCTGGGGGCCGATCGCCAGGAAGATCCACCTCTTGGAACGATGACCCCGGCAAGGTGGGCAATCCTTCATTGTGGGGCCTCTGGCAGAACGGGCACACTTTTTCCATCAGCGGCGAGGCGGCGAACTCCGCTCCAGCGAGAAGCTAGAAAGGGGCACTACGTAACTAGCGAATTCGCGGGCAAAGAGAGGGGGGGGGACGGCCGCGAGGAAGAATGGACGCTCAAGGCAAAGCGGGCGCATGTGACCCCGAGGTGGCCCAGTTTCCCTTGTTCCGGAGAGGGAGCGGTGGCGCCACGCCATTGAATCGCCTCACGATGCTCGCGCAGCCTGACTGCGCCAGCACGGAGAGCGGCACGAGCCCACGAGGACCACCCTTCGCGCGAGGGTCTGCTGCTGCTGCTCCTGCTTCCTCCTGCTCCTCTCTGACCTCTTCTTCCCCTCCTCTGTTTCCTCCTCATCTTCCACCTCTTCCTCCTAATCCTCCTCTTCTCGCCCCGTCCTCCTCCTCCTCCTGCTGCTGCTGGTCCTCCTCATCCTCACCCTCGTCCTCTCCCTCCTCCTCAGATTCAACAGTGCTTCTCCTTCTCATCCCCGATCTTCCCTCTCCTCCTCCTCCTTTTCCTCCTCCTCGTCTTCCTCGTCCTCCTCGTCTTTGGAGGTGGGATCATCGCCGTTGATTGTCGATCTCGCCGCCGTCGCTGTCGCCTCGCGCCCTTCTAGGCCGCTGCGGGTCTTCGGAGATGGTTCTGGAGGATCGTTCAGCTCCGACCCCAGGCGACGACGGGTCGGCGCTTTGGCTGTGCTTGTTGCCTGGGACGGTGAGGCATGGTCTCGCTTCAAGGGCTGGGCCTCCACCATGTCGGGCCCTCGCCAGACCGTTCCCAAAGCTGAGATGCTAGCGTTTGAGCTCGCATTGGTTACTGTTCCGGATTAGTTTGAATTGAGTATGTGACTGACAACGGACCGCTCAACGATGGCTGGTGTCGTCGTTTCTTTTTGTCTTATAAAGGTCGGTCTAATTTGGATGTGTGGCTTCGCATCCGTTTTGCCCTGATGGGCCGCGAGGACGGGGTGTCCATGAAATGGGCCCCGTCCCACTTGCATCCCGCGGGCCCCTCTCTTTCGGAGGATGAGGTGCTCCTTGCGTCGGGCAACAACGCTGCCGACGAGCTCGCCTCGGAGGCGGCCAAAGACTCGTGGTGATTCGCCACGGTAGGCCAGCGTGTTCCCGACACTGACCGCTTGGATGCGACCTCCTTTTTTGATTCGGCAAAGGGCCTCCCAAGCCATGGTCGATTTCATTTCGATGGCGCACTGGTTCGCGGAGAGGCCTAGGCTTGGCCGTGCGAAGTCCACGAAGCTCCAAGCTGCCCTCCTTCACAGCTCGCACTACTTAATTAAAACAGGGTCCAAGTGTTTTTATCCCCTTTGCTCTATGATTGTCCCTACCTCTACGGCGTTGGAGGCTTGTGATGATATCTGCCACTCGGCTGAGGAATCCTTCGGTGCGTGGGTTGCGCGGGCTAGGGGGGGGGGTGAGGGTGGGGGGAGTTGTTCTTCACACCAGTCATCGCTCACATTACTGGTCTGAGTTTGCACTCTAGTTCTGCTCCTGCTGTGGCCGATCGGCCACTGTTGACCCCAGGCAATCAATTCAGGTGGTCCCCCCCTCACCAAAAATGGCAAACATAATCCCCAAGGCGTGCGGCGGCTTGTTTCCCGGCCATAGCGGCCCCACGGCCCCCGTTTCGGAGGCGCCGTCTCCAGGGTGCGGCGCGACCAGGCGCGCCGCGTGGTGCCTGTCGCTGTCTAGTGCCCCGAGCCACGTGCACTCTCGCGCGCAGGACACTCCTCCTCCTCCTCCTCCTCCTCCTCCTCCTCCTCCTCCTCCTCCTCCTCCTCCCTTCTTCCCACTCCAACTCCTCCAACTCCTCGTCCTCCTCCCCCTCCAACTCCTGCTCCTCCTCCTCCTGCTCCTCCTCGTCCTCCTCCTCTTCCTGTTTGTTGACGTTAGGCAAACATGAAGTGGGGCCTGTTGCGTTCGTGTGCGACAACCAACCAATCAGAACATCTGAGTGCAGACTACGCGGAGCAGGAGGTGCGAGGAAACACAGAAAAGTGCTATATCTGCAGTGCCAGCAAGGTATTTCCCTCCCACCGCTCGCCATCTACGCCAATCCCTTCTAGGTCAAGGCCCTCACCGAGGGACAGTACGGCGGCCGTCGAAAACACACACACACACCTCACCGAGGGATCATGTATACATTTGTTGGCAGCGCTCCACCCAACTCTATAACCTCGCATCCCGCCCTCTCCATATCAAGGCTGGCCAACTCGGTCTGGCTGGCCTAGTGCGGCAATGCGAACGAGCGGTTTGAACAGCCAAATTTCTGATGTGTAGAATGGCCGGCTCAGATGGTACTAGCTGGCCAAAAAGCAAACTATGGCATAGGATGCCAGTGTGAAGCTTATCATGTCTGATCGAGCTGGTACTGCGCTTGGGGTGAAAATGAGGCTGGCCTGTTTAAAGATTTCGGGTATCAAGAGACTGCTTAGAAGCTCGGTGACTGTCAAAGAAGCGAGCCTGCCGTGGGCCCAACTTCCTGGCGCCCAAGGGGGCCCGAGATAGTTGCTCCCCTCCCACCCCACAGTATCTCCAACCTCGGAAGCCTACCCTCCCCAGTGTCAGGCTGGCCACAGTCTGGCTGGCCGAAGTGGAAACGTGAAGCACGCGGTTTCCTCCTCCTCTTCCTCTTCCTCCTCCTCCATCTCTTTCCGATCTAAAAAAGAAAACACCTCCGCGCTCTTTGACGCCCTGAACACAAAACAAACCACCCATAGCAAGAATCTCCTGGGGGTCCAGTGTGAGTCCGCTAATTAGGGGCCCTCTTGAGGCGTCTTGGCGGCCTCAGGGGCCATGTCGGTGCCGTCTTGGGGCGCTTGCCTTGTTTATCTGTGATCCAGATTGTTTCAAAGATGGCCCAGATACCCCAAGATGGCCTCCACGATGGTCAAACTCGGACCAACATGGCGCCCACCATGCCTCCAAGAGGCAAGACGATGCCTCCAATACTGCTGTCAAGGGCTTGGAATCCTCCAGAGGATGCTGTCAAGGTGACGCGTCTTGAACTCTGTGATCCTACCTTTTGGCAGCCCATCGCCAGAGCGAGAACGACGGAGGGTTACTGCCTTTCGCAAAGAGAGCTCTCGCCCGAACGGCAGATGCCATGGGGCGCGAGCAACTTTCCACGGGGCGCTCTCCGCATTGAAAAGGGGTGTTAGTGCAGGGGCGTGTGAGGATACTGGGTTCACCTCGGGCCTTCTACTCTTATCCCCTCTCCCCCCTCCCTGCCTTTCTGCCCTCTCTCCCTGCTGTCCTCTCCATCCCTCTCCCTCCATTCCTCCTCCTCCTCCTCCCTCCTGCTCCTCCTCCTCCTCCTCCTCCTCCTTTTCCTCCTCCTCCTCCTCCTCCTCCTCCTCCTCCTCCTCCTCCTCCTCCCCCTGCTCCGGCCTCATCACCCCTCTGCCTTATACATGATGCCTCCTCGTTGCATCACCAAACGAGTCGGTACGGCTGGCCCGGCGTTTGACCTGAGATGTCCGGACCATGGATGACCCTGAAGCTTGAAACGTTCAACAGTCTTACGGATGGATGGCGGGCCGTCTCCAAACTGTGGCTCTCGCATTTGCGCCGTGCGCATTCGTATTCAATGTTTGCATTGAGTTTGAGCTGGTTTTCAACATATTGCTCTCGCGTTTAGCGCTGCGGACTTCGTCTTGAACAAGTCCAGCACTTACACGGATGGAGGGCGGTTGTCTTCAAACCGTAATCCTCGCCCTGGCGCCGTGCCCATCCCTCTTACAAATCCTACCAAGACTCTGGGCGAGTGCCCCCAGCTTGTCGCTCCATTTTGGAGCCCCTGGGGCCCTCTGGGCCTCGCGAGGCGTTCTGGAAATCCTGGGGGCACCTTGGGCCTCGCGAGGCCGTGGTGGGCCTGTTTGGAAATCCTGGGGGCACCTTGGGCCAGGGGCTCTTCTGGCAACTCCCGACTCAACGACCAACCACTCGCCTGGTGTCTGAGGGCAGAAGGCATAACTCGGCCCTAGATGGCTCCAACATGGTCCCAAACAGCTACATGTAGTCTCCAGGATGACACGTTATCCACCACCGTGCCTCTGGCACGAAATGGAGTGCCCCAAGGCTCATGCAGCACTGAGAGGTAAACACTGTGCTGCAACTGCAGCGATCATTGTCAATTTATCAGGGCCCGGACCAATCGTATCCCAAGCCGTCCCGGGGTTTCCCAAGCTGGCTCCTGTGAGTTCTGAAGTGTTCCCTGCGCCTTCCCTGGGGTCTGGACGGGGGGGAGGGCAGAGACCATAATTTGGCCCTAGATGGCTCAAGCATGGCCCCAGACAGCCCAATGTGGCCTCCAAGATGACACATTACAAAATCAAAGCTGATCGCAAGGATGCGCGATGAAGATGCAAGCCCCTTGGATGCCCATGTTGAAGCTGTTTCAGGCGCGGCGGGCCATCGAAAGTAGTCAAGGATGGACCAAGAGGGCACGTATGCAAGGGTCATTACCCTTGGGAAGGTTACCCATCTTTGAAATCTTTTCGACTACGTGGCCCACTGTGGCTCAAGGTAATCCTCCAGCATGCCTCCAAGACACCCCAATACCGCCACATTACCACAAGACGACTCCAAATTACCACGGAGCTTTCCAATGATATCACCGAGACTCCGAGAAACCCACATCCTTCAAACACGTTATGTGCTCCATGATGTTTGCTATTTTCTGATCCGCTGCAAGATGGCTACAAGATCGCCGAAGAGGGGCCCAGCAGGGTTCCAAGACAGCCCTAGCCTCAAGCCCCAAAAGATTCCCAATCACGCCTCATGGGCTTGCAGAACAAACCGAAAAGAGCCTCAACATGTCTCCGATAGGCGTCCAAGAGGCTCCACCAGGTCTCTTCACAATTGTTGGCCTCTCTGTTTCACGGTGTGCTCCTCAACTTCCCTCTTCTCGAGAACTCCCTGGAGCATCGCTTCAGGATGACCAGCGTCACACGTCCTTACAGCTACACCGATGAAAACGAGGTGGTGCTTCAATTGCAAATCCAGCCCCCGCGCCGCGCGTACTCGTCACATAAAAAGCTTGGCAATTGCTTTACACGGACGGGGGATTTTTCTCCTTCGCAGTGGGGCTGCCGCTGGAGACTTCCTGACATCTCTGGCGGCGACACACGTAGAGCTGCCCAAGACCTACACGGGTTGAGGGCGGTTCCTTCTCAACGTGGGGCCATCGCCTGAGACTTCCTCCAGGCGTATGGCCAGAAGTTGCTCGTCTGAGGCATGTGGACTCATGGGAAGCGGCTCCTTCTCAAACTGAAGCCCCCGCCTGCATGGCAAACCAATGGGGCGCTCGTCTTTCATAGGGGGCGTGTCACATAGTGAAGCGAAACGCCTGGGGGGACTTATGAGAAGAGGCTTGGGAAAGGACTGTTTGTATTGTAGCATTGTTGATACATTGTGGGTTGACTCTGGTCTTCCTCCTCTTCCTCCTCCTCTTCCTCCTCCTCTTCCTTCGTTCCCTTGCTCCTCTTCTTCCTGTAGCTGCCCCTCCTCGCGGTCTTTCCCAAAGATGGCCTCCGAGGGGCGTCGCGGGCATCCTCCCGCTGCCGCCGAGGAAGATGTACGCCAGCGACCCCCTGGCGAATCTGAACATACACGAAAACAACGGAAAGCCCGTCCGAGTCCGATTCGGGTGCTCCGCGCAGTAGCAATCCAGGGCGCTGAGAGAAGTCGCGGGAACAACGCGGTCATGCTTGTTGGCGCAGTGGTTGGGGGGTGGGAGCGACGTTGAGATCAATTTCGATTTTAATGTATATCGTGCGTGCGAGGCGACGCAACATGCGGGCGATGATGCGTCAAGCGTAGCTGGTACCTAGTCGGACAACAAGACTCAGGCCAACTCTGCTCTCAGGTTGTCTCAGGAATGCCACGGTAACGCTACACACGTATAGCGCATACATCATATGTTCAAACATCAAACTGATAGCAAAGACGCAAAAAGACCTCGAACACAAGCTTTGTCCTGAAGACCTGGGAAATCCGCCCACCCTTCAACGTGCGTGAGACTGTGGGACGCTTTTCCGTTTGAGTCGTCGTCGTCGTCAGAGTCGTCGTCGACGATAGTCCCAATGAAATTAAGAAACAAGGAAAACGACTTCGTAGTTACCTCGATTCTCTTTTCTTTATCCCTTACCTGCTGGGGGGGTTTCTGGGGGTGGTGGTGTGTGTGTGTGTGTGTGTGTGAAGTCCCGGATCAAAATGCCGCCGCCCCCCCCCCCTTGGGTCCCGGCGGATGGGGGTCGCCAGCGGGGTTCCTGGGGGAGGTCCCGCCTTCAGGGTCGGCGGCACCTGCCGCAAGGCCGTCGCAACACAACTGTCTGCGCCACTGGAAACCCACAGACGTCAGACGGCGAATTCCCCTAGCGCACCCTTTCCCCCGGCTTGCTTGCGCGATGGCACCAGGGCCCGGAGAATGATACGAGCAGCAGAGGGTAAGTAGTGGAGAATCGATATATGATTGCTGATCATATGCATGACCTTTCGGAGGTTCGCGCGAAATGCTTGGGTTGGCGCTGAACTCCCCTCCCCGCGCCCCTTACCCAGTGCGCGGAACGCGCCAGAGACGGCGCCAGAGGCACCGACACAAGAAATCCGCACGGAACTCCAAATGCTTCCGTTTGTTATTTTTGTCCATTCTTATGTTTGGCTGAGAGGCACATGGGAAGAGGGGGAGCATAACAGAGGAAGAGCAAGCTCGAAGAACGAGCCTGAACTTGTGCGCGCTCTTGCACGGGAAGATGACGTCCCGATCGTAGATCGTGCACTCGGCGCCCTTCGCGCGGGCAGGGGGCGACCTATAAGTTTGACGGGAACGGTGCGACCAAATCCACGAGCGCCCCTCTGGCACGTGTTTTTTTGTTCGCTTTGTGGCTAGTCTCTCTCTCTCTCTATATATATAAATGATATACCTAAGTATACACATACACATTTCGTATATGTATCGTTGTGTGTTGTTGCCATTTGTTTTTGGGACTGTGCGTGCATCGCTCGTGCTCTGAATCCGTCTCCCCCTGGCCGTTCTTCATCAGAGTGAGGGGGCCGAACGGTCATTCACTGTCGCTGGGCGCGTGACTGAAGTGGGGTTCCGCGATGCGCAATGTTGTTGTTGCTGCTGCTGTTGTTGCTGTTGTTGTTGATGCTATTGTAGTTGCTGTTGTTGTTGTTGTGATTGTTGCCGTTGCTTGTTGCTTGTTGTCGTCGGCCTCGCCCGCGACCCACCCGCGACCCACCCGCGACCCAACCCGCGACCCCTTTCCGCGGCCCAACCGCGACCCATCCGCGACCCACTCGCGACCCACCCGCGACCCGCCCGCGACCCGCCGGCGACCCATCCGCGACCTTCCCCGCACCCGCCCCCTCACTCCTATCCGCAACGGCGCGGTGATACAGATTCTTCATCTGCGCAAGTGCACGACTAACTCTTCCGCGCCCCAGTTGTTGCTGCGTAGCGCTTCGTGCCTCACGTCGCCGCTTGCGTGCGTGAGTGAGTGAGGAGTGAATGAAATGTGCGTGTATTTTGGTAAAAACAAGTAGCGCACTGAAAACGTCCGGAGGTTCCTCCCGTCCCTTTGCTCTTTCCCTCTCTTGCCCATCCATCGGATATGCGGCCTCCTCTCCCTCCCCCGCACCCCCACAGTTCGCGCGCCCACTGTTTCCCTCCGCACCCGACAAACTAGGAACCGTCAGATTTTAAGAACAGACCTCCCGACCCGTCCACCCTGCATACCGCGGCCGCCAAATCCCCAGGTCCCCCGAGTGCCCCCGAGAGTCCCGCCTCGCGACACTCTGCATACCGCGGCCGCCAGATCCACAGGTCCCCCGAGTGTTCCGTGAGTCCCGCCTCGCGCCATTCTGCATACCGCGGCCGCCAGATCCCCATGCCCCCCGAGTGTCCCCGAGTGTCCCGCCTCGCGACGACAAATCATAACATGACAGAGCGGTACCATAAAACTAGCAGAACATAGTACAGCACGACACTGTAGCGAGGACAGGACAAAGCATAACACCATATCGCATAACATAACATATCCGATCGTACACGATATCATGGCGTAGCTCAAGAGGGGCCCAACATGCCTCAATGACAAGCTCATTCGGCGGTCCGACACTGAAATATGGTGGACTTGTTGGATTTATGGTTGTAGGGTCTATTTCTGCGGGCCCTGGCACCTTCCTAAAAACACAACCCTTCTGATCCTCCTCCTCCCCTTCGTCCCAGCTGGGTCCTCTTTCATCAGCGTGCCGTTGACGAAGGAGCCCTGGGGCGAGAGCTGCTGGAAGACGGGGCGCCTCGGTGGGCGCTGAAGGTCGTCGCCGTCGTCGCCGTCGCCGTCGTCGTCGTCGTCGTCGTTGTCGCCGGCGGCGGCGTCGTCGGCGGCGTCGAAGAGGTGGACGTAGAAGGAGGGGGATGAGGAGGAGGGAGGAGGACAAGGAGAGGGAGGACACTGAGGAGGAGCTGGGGGTGGAGGAAGCCGACGGTGCTCGGACAACCATTCCACGGGCTCCCGCTGCCGGATGGCTGCACACCGGCACCACCACGTCTGTCGGCCACACGCAGAAGTGACCCTGGGCCACGCGTGAGCCTTGGTGCGCGGCTGGCCCGGCGGCGCGGGCCCCCTGAAGGGGAGGGACTGGGGAAACCCACTCAACCCTTGAAGTAGTAAGGCAGCTAAAGCAGATTGGGATCCGGGAATCCAGAAATACCTGCTTTCAACGACCGGCGCGTGGTCGAGCCTATGCCGTGGGCCACTCGGAAGTGGTAGCTTCGGTTGCACGCAAGAGTGACCCTGGGCAAGAATGACCAATGGTGCGCGGCTTTTAAACGGCCACAGGGGGGCAAAACACAAGGGCGCAAGACACTACTATCGCAACGCGTTCGGCGATGGGGGGACCCCAATGGGCCCGGACAAAAGGTCACTCCGGCGAAGGGTCACCCTTACGTGTAGTCGGCCAGTGTTGGCCCACCACAGGCCCCCCAGACCACCGACGTCGTGATTTGTTCACGACGTCGACCCCTAGAGGTCTGGACCCCTTCCCCGGGACCGGCTTCTCGCCCCGAGTCGTTTTTTGACGGCCCCGAGGCCCGGCGAGGGCCTCCGAAAGCCAGAAATACTGAAAAACATTCCGTCATGATCTTTCCACAGCGCGAGGGGATCAGGCCTCTCGCCAGCTCCCAGATGTAGTCGAATTTGTGCCCGAGGCCGCTCGGAAATGGAAGCTACAGTCGGGGACGCACTGACCCGGGTCAATGCACACCCTGGTCAGTCAACCCTGGTCAGTCAGGCCTTGCAGGATAGCAGGACGAACTGCTGCAAAATCCTGCAGGACCCTACATGCTGACCTGGGTCAGGCGCCGCAGGATCCTGCAAGATCTGGCGCTTTGGCTGACCCCTGTTTGCTTGGCGGCGAACGCAACGGGGTAGGGGGGAGGGCCTCTTAGAAGGGGGCTGCTTCTTAGAAGGCGGGGGCCCAGCATCTGCAGACAAGGCCCACGCATTCCAGGACGCAGCCTCCTTCGGAGAAGCCTTCCCCCCTCCCCCATACCCCCCCCTCTGACTGACCCCCGTTTGCACGCACTTACCCGTCTTACCCAAACCCCCGATGTCATGATTTTTTCCATGGCGTCGACCCCCAGAAGTCTCGACGCATTCTCTGGGACCGGTTTCTCATCCTGAGTCGTTCTCTGACGGTCCCGAGGCCCGGTAGGGGCCGAGAATAGCTCAAGATCTCCCGTCTTACTTTTTGCAGGACTCGAGGGGTTTTGGGTAAGGCCCCCGAGGCACACCACCACCACCACCACCACCACCACCACCACCACCACCACCACCACCACCACCACCACCACCACCACCACCACCACCACCACCACCACCCGGCCAGGGCCGTCCTAGGCTTAGGTCGGACATGCCCCCCTACAGAGGGATTCTGGACGAAAAATTAAAAGTAACCCCGAAACGCTTAAACATACGGCAAACATCAAAACATAGTTCCCTGAGTATTTCTGGACTATTTTGAATACTCCTTCTCTACAAAGGGATTTTGGACGAAAAATTAAAAGTACCCCCAAAACGCTTAAACATACGGCAACAAAAACATCAAAAAATAGTCCCCCGACGATTTTTGGCCTCTTCGGAGTACTCCTCCTGTAGGAGGAGTCTTCAAAATAGTCAAAAAACAGCCAGCGGACTATTTTTTGATGTCTTCCGTATTTTAAGCGTATTTTGGCCACGACGAAGCGGACTTCGGGGGAGACTCCCCAGAGTCTCAGAGATTCTCGATTGATCTCCGAGATCAATCGAGAATCTCTGAGATACGGCGGCTCCGGGGGACGTCTCGGGCGCAGGCCGAGAGCAGAGCCTACGACGAGGCCAAGACGAAGCGGACTTCGGGGGAGACTATCGGGTTGACCCGAAAGGGGGTCCAGCGACAAGGGGGTGGTGCAGTAGATTCGGGTCGGGCGAAAGGGGGGGATAGCAAAGGGGGGGTTTGAGAATCAGCTCACGTAGCTGATTTTCCCGGCGCCTCCCGGCGCCGGAGGCGACGATGTATCGAGGAATGGGCCCCTCGGTGGGGCCGAAACCAGCTGCATGCAGCAAATATCGTACCCCCCCCTTTCCCAATCCCCCCCTTTCGTCCGGCCCGATAGATCTGGTGCAACAGGTTTGTGGGGCTGCAAGACAGTTGGGGCGTGCAACACATTCCGGGGCGCAGATGTACTGCTGGCTCTCCGCGTGCAGTACATCACCTGCGATACAGTGCAATACAGGTCTCCAGCGCAATACGTTTGCAATACAATTGCCCCGAATCTATTGCACCACCCCCTTGCAGCTGGACCCCCTTTGGGGTCGCCCAGAGGAGATCAATCGAGAATCTCTGAGATACGGCGGCTCCGAGGGACGTCTCGGGCGGCACGGCCTTCTCAGAGCGTCCCAGGACGCTCTCAGAGCGTTCCGGAACGCTCTGGGACGGACTTCTCGTCGTCCTAGCCCCGTCCGAGGAAATCCACCCTCATAGTAAGCACCCCGACAAGCGAAGCCATGTAGTAAACGCACCCAAGGAAGAAATCGAACAGGGCGGGGCTGCTCAGTAAACGCCCAGGCCCGTTTCGTAAACGCCAGTTCTCGTGGTCGGGGTGGTTTTCCTCCCTCGAATCAGATTTGGGTTCGGGGGACTCGGGTTAGCCTGACGGGGCCGTCAAGAAGATGATGATACCCAATCTGAAATCTGGCGCGAGCTCCCGGCGCGGACGTCCCACGAGAACTCTGCAGCAAGAGAACAGGACGGGCCCATCAAAAGCAGGACGGCCCTGAGTTCTGGCGAAATCGAGTCTTACGCTTGCGGCGCGCAGAAGGGGGTATGGGGAATGGGGGAAGGCTTCTTAGAAGGAAGCTGCTTCTTGGAAGGCGCCGGCCTTCCATCTAGAGATAAGGCCCGCGCCTTCTGAGAAGCAACCTCCGCAGAAGGCTGGGAAGTCCTCCAGCCTTCCGAGAAGTCTTCTGCGCCTTCCCCTTGACACTGAAAACCTCTCAGAAGGTCGGGGGTCTTATGTGAAACCCCGCCGCCTTCTGAGAGGGCCTTCTCCTTCTCACCTCCCCCCTCGTGTCCACATTTTTGTCATACGCGGTCCCCGCAAGTCGGGGGCTGCCAAGGGTGTCCCTGGCCTGAGGGCCCCCCCAATCTTTTGTCGCTCCAGTTCGGAGCCCCTGGGGCCCTCTGGGCCTCGTGAGGGGTGCTCTGCTCTGGAGGCTGTGGGGGCCTCCTTGGAAATCCTGGGGGCACCCTGGGCCAGAGGCACTTCTGGCAACATCCGAGGGGATCCCTAATCACCTTTCCCTCAAGGCCGGCTTCTCGTCCCGAGCCGTCCTTTGACGGTCCTCGGGGCCCGGCAGGGGCCCCCCTGAGGGAGACAATTCGAGCGCGCAGCCACGTCCTGGGCCGAGGGTGGCTCGCCCAGCCAGCCTCCAGCGAGAGACCGCACGAGGCCCGTGCGGACGCGGCGCGGCAGCCGGTTGCCGAGCGGTGGGCCGTCGTCCCCCCCGGACCGGGACAAAGACCCAAATCCTGCAAAACAACCACAAACACCTGCACTGGACGACCAAACGGAACTCTGCAGGAAAGGGGCCGTAGGCGACCCGGAGGAGGAGGAGGAGGAGGAGGAGGAAGTGGAGGAGGTGGTGGAGGAGGAGGAGGAGGGGGGAGGAGAGGAAGGAGGAGAGGAGGAGGAGGGAGGAAGAGGAGAGCAGAGGCAGAGGACGGTAGAGAAAGGAGGAGGAACGAAATGAGAGGAGGAGAGAGGAGGAGGGAGGAAAGAGGAGATGAATAGGAGGATGAGGAGAAGAGGAGAAGGAGGAGGAGGCTAATGAGGGAGGGAGGAGGCGGGAGGCGGGAGGCGGGTGGCGGGATGATGAGTAGTAGTAGTAGTAGTAGTAGTAGTAGTAGTAGTAGTAGTAGTAGTAGTATTAGTAGTAGTAGTAGTAGTAGTAGTAGTAGTAGCCGTAGTAGTAGCAGTGGTGGTGGTGTTAGTATGTGTAGTAGTAGTAGTAGTAGTAGTCGTAGTAGTAGTA